AGATGGTGTGGGGTTCGGGGGAGTTCTTTCGGAGAATTAAATTTGTTTGCGAATGTGTGTATTTCGCTAGTACCTGAACTTCATTCGTGCGGGATACATTGTGGGTTTTCTAGTAGCACTGAAGTTTTTCGACATTTTTCTTCGTTTAACTGTGAAGGTTGGTCAGATAAAATCAACCCAAGAACCTCAAAGTTTCCCATCCCATCTCCAAGTTTGTGTCACTTGTAGATAGATTAATTTAGGTTCTCAAATCCCAGACTTCAGAATGGCTCTTCTGTAGGAAGCCAGTCAAAAATAGATTATCTGAGGTGTTTTCAGTACAACCGGTTCGTCTGTTTGTCTCAGGCCTTGGATGACGTTAGTGTGTTCTCAGCAAAACCTTTAAAAAACGGGCTGTGTATTACAGAGCAGATAGTTTAGTCACGGAACACGTTCAGCAAGTGCCGTTTATACTGAAAAGTTATCTGACGCGTTCCGTTCCGGGTCGCACAAAGGTGAACAATTTGTAACCTGGCAAAAGCTCATGATGTGTTTTCGGAATATCAAAACCTCTGGGCTTCCACTGGCAGCGACCGCTTCATTTGGCATAAATCAAAACAAAATACATTTTTTTGCTTTGGCTCAACAGCCATTCGATTCCATGCCCTCTATCCTCCAGCAAACATATCACCCAGCTATGAAAGTTTGGTTTGGTTGTCACCACATTGTTCTTAGGTTGGCGAGAACGTCTCCCAATGCAAAATAAAACAATCGATTACATAGTGACTTTATTGAATTATCGCACGGCTGACAGAGTCCGCATGGATTCTCATATTCTCGATAGAAGGCTTTGGTCGATAAGTTAAAAAACAAGACTGATGGACAGTCTTGTGTTTCTAGAGCCGGACAATGGAGAAGATGATGAATCGAAGTTTCAAATAGGCAGTGAACCTGATATAAACCGATTACTGGAAAAATAATTCCGATCGATAAGTTGTGTTCTATCGGAACATGGTCGGTTTGCACACTACTTCACAGCCAAATCAAACGTATTGAAATTAGCACGTCACGCATACGAAAAACCGCTCAAATTCCATAAATAAGGGGCCTATTTCAGACCCATTCTGACTACGCATGTCTCCAGGTACTAGAAGTCAACCAGAGGCAATATATGGATTGATTAGCTGCGAGCTCACAGAAGACGCACACGACTGAAGGGCAAATTTCCTATAGAATTCCCAATAACTTACATACTACTCAAATAACCTTGATCTCATCAGCAAAACAAATCAATACCCGATGCACGCCATTGACCGTATCCCAGAAACTTACGTGAAAGGGTAAGTTTACTTTCAGTGAGGCCACGTTGTTGAGAAGGCTATCTGTGATCCGTTCAAGCGGTGACAGAGTGACGACACTTTCTCTCGAATCGACAGCATCACGATGTGTCAGTACAACACTACTGAATGGAACCAGAGCCTGAGTTTTCTTTCCGAAGTAGCTAGCAGTTATAAAATCAGGCTCACTTATTACGAAAACATCTAAGTTGCTCCATTCTCCAAATCTGAGCCTAGAGTCGCTTGGTTTTCTGTTTTCACCTGTCTCTAAAGGGCGCCAAAATGCTGCAAATGAGTGCTGTTCGCATACCTGTATATAAAGCAAAATGTGCACCCCGTCGTTAAAAAACAGACACCGTTTGATTCGAAAAGATGAACATTTTCACTCTTTGAGAATCCACGTGATATAATTAATTATCGTCAAACGTGAGTTAGAAAAGGCTCAACCATCCAAACACTTTGTTGCCGGTTACATAAAATATAGCGCTCGAAGCGGGCGTGAACCAAAATAAGTCAGGCATCAAAATCCTCTCGGCTAAAAATAAATGTTTTTCGAGAGCTCATAGAAAGTGCAGTTTCACAAGGGTGAAAATTTCATCCGAGAAGGTGCTGCCCGAGGAGCCAGTCGATAGGTGACCACGTGATGTGATGAGTGGAACTAGACCCCGCGTAATTTTGAATTCATAAAGCTGCTGGTCAGTCACTCGTCGCCGAAAGACTTATTTTTCAAACTGCTAGGCTAAAGGTCGTTCTACGAAACAGAGAATGAAAACCATTCACTTGAAAATGACTCTATTCTACTTTATAAATGGTATAATATTTGACTGGTACCCATCTCGCGGTTCCAAGGATTCGTAGAAGCACAATTCTGCGTCCGGCAACAGACGGACGGCAAAGTGCGGTCTTCGTGAAAACTTCAGAATAAAGCAGTCGTTTGCAAAGTCTGGTTCGTAACTTTGACGCAGGTTGCTGTCCGCTGCGAGGACCGCTGGACTCAATTTTCCTACCATTTTTTTGAGATGAATAAGGCAAGCTTGTCACGTGGAAAACTCAGCTACGAGGCCGATCAGGTGCTCGTCTATCGCAGGCATTCTGAAACGTCGGAATCTTCGAGACAGGCAATCTGGGAGGAAACTGACGGCAAGAACGCAATGCATCTTGCAAATCGCAGAGAGTCGCGAGGACCCCAAATATGCCCTTCTCGTTTTTGATCAGACAGTCCTAAATTCTTGCCAAACTTATTTTCTGCTTGATTGACCGCTCGTTTCTCACAAGACAAAGGAATCAACAGCCATAAGGATCTTTATAGGAGGGAATCTGTGCCAACCATTTGGACATGCTCACTGGTTTTTAATCCCACTACGATTATTACCAGATTTCCTTCGACCTGCTGTACTGGGTTTTAAGTTTCTGTTTCTGTTTGTGAAAAAATCATTATTTGGATTGAAAACCTATATATCGTCCAAAAAAAGCACAAGTGTTGGTGTTTTGCTGAGAGATTTCGAGTAATCTAAAAGAAAGAGAAAGAACACATAAAGGCAATTATCACTTAGTAGCAAATACACTCACTATGTTGTTCGGGGTGGTTTTCAGTCGTTGGACAATGGAACCATATTAAAGCGACAACGTTTTCGACCTCCGTTGAGATCTCCCAAAAGTCTAACCGCATCCCCTCGTGACACAGGATGATCGAACTTTACTTCATACGTTGCAACATATTCGGTGTGTAACGGTTCCGTGACTCTATCCAGTAGAATACATTTTTCAATCCGAAGACCATTTTCAAACTTTCGAGATTGAAGCTAGTGCAAATGTGTAAAAGTGATGATGAAAGTAAATGAAGATGAAGCTTTTAGAGTTACGATGAACACATCAAGCCAGAAAAAACACTAACACCTCATTATTTTCTGCCAAACAAAGCTTACAAATTGAAAACCACCTTTCATTTTACTGGTCCGGACAAAAATATTTTACTTGATACCTTTTGTCCAGATACTTTTTCACGAAAAGCGCATAAAATTTATTACTGTCACACTGCAGGTTTATCTAAGCAGTTTTTGTTCTCCCACGCTCTCTCGATCGTTTGCAGTGTAATTCTAGCCTTCTTAAAGCATTTACTGAAAGTTGACATAAACCTTTCAAAAAGGTCACCACAGCTCTATCACATGATTGCATGACAAAATGATTCTCATACTGATAGCTTAATAGCAAGGATGGCTTGATCATTTTTCACTACCGCTTAAGTCTATCTCGTCATCATTCAACTGGTGAATCGATAAAACCTCACGTGACCGTTTGGCCGCATCCATACCGATTGGGGCTTTGGAATAAGAAATCCAGGAAGCATGCACAAAACAGCGTAAATGCCAGTTAATCGTCCTGTTGAGTCTGAATGACTTGCTCCAAGAGGATTCTGTTTTTTATTTATCATTGTCCTTTATTCCATATATTTCACCACAAACTGGTTTGTCTGCTTACTATCAAAGCACTAATCTTTCTTGTTGAGAGCAGGCGCAATGAAGAGTTATATTAAAATTGCATTGAGCAAAATACGTTGCCACGCTGTCAACCTACCTTTTCACACATGCACCATTTGGATGGGAATGTCAGTCTGGCTCCTGAAAAGACAGATTTTTGCAATGGGTTTCTATCATCTAACGACAGCGATGCTTAGAATTGAGAACGTGATACGCGAAGTTGCCACGGAGCTCTTGAGAGTAACAACAGGCAGTAAATGTCATTTAGAATAAACCCAATCAAAATCACGTAGAGCAAACCGCAAGGTTCTTTGTTTAATCAACTTACGTTCAAAATAATCACCCCGGCTTTCTGCAGGATAACCTGTAGATGGGATCATAGAGGAAACATGTGCAAACAAAATTCAAGTTTTGAATTCGCTTTTATTCGGCTAAATTTCCTAGTTTATGCTACGTTTGGAAAATTTGACCTTCAAAGAATGCCCGGGTTCGAACCACGGACATTCCGGTCAGTGAATCTGCTCTCTAACCAATGAGTCACTTTACTCACGTTCTTAAGAATGAAACACCTTTAATCTTGGAAACGTTGTGTTTGTAGCAGAAAACGAACCATTACTATAACAGATAATTTTCAGTGAATAACGGAAACAAATTAAGGTGTAAGGTTTACTCAAGGCATCATCAATTGCTTTAATCTTGGAAACGCTGTGTGTTTGTAGCAGAAAACGAACTATTACTATAACAGATAACTTTCAGTGAATAACGGAAACAAATTACCGTGTAAGGTTTACTCAAGGCATCATCAATTTAACAAAAAAGCACAGAACTCCTAAATTTATCACTAGTACAGTTTCTTAAGTTTGACTGTCAAAATATATCTATTTCCGTAAATTTGGTAATTATGGGTCTCTGCTGAAAATCCACAGACAGTCCAATACCGGTTTGGTTCTACTTTGGTCTCACAAAGTAAGCTTGGTCCCCGGAGGCTGAGTTAATCGGTCCCTGAGTTAAATAGCATTTCGATGGTATATTTACTTTCAAAGTCACACGCTTGATTAAATCGCCAGAGATTCCTGGCTCTGACAGGAGAAGAAATTTTATTGAATATTTTCGTAACGGTACTCTGAAGCATACTGCGCAAAGAAACATCAATGGAATGGCGCCAATGATTGACTTCGTCTGGAAGTTAGCTGTGTTGCGGAATTTGTGGAGTCGCTTTGTAACATTTGCTTGAATTTGAGCGAGGAATGATCGCAGTCAATGAATATCCAGGAAAGCTCAATAAGACGCGTTTAGGAGAAGATGGATGCCCAGTTTTTGTAAATGAGATGCAAATGAGAGTTTTACTTCCCTGTCCAATAGTCTGTAATTGGTCAGTTGGCATTTCCTAATAAATAACTCCACAGCGAATGCCTTCTCCTGTTCACCTGGAGCAACTTCACTTTTATCACGCCCTTCAAGCTTGAGAAATTTTCATCAAACGCATCACCTCATGTAGAACAAAAAAATTCAGCAGACATACGGCTCAAACAGAGCTTGAAATGTTAGGTCCATAAGGGCGCATTACTTGTTAGAAGCAAGCTAATTCCCGGTTTCCAAACTGTAGCTTCAACACTTCCAAGAGATTTGGACAGCCCACTGTCAGTTTCGCCAACTTCAGAGCTACCCTCTGGCTTTCATAAACTTTTTTAGCAGTCAAAAGCCCGATTGAGGATAGATGATGCCATGCTTCTATTTTCAGAATAATATCCGAGCAAACGGAGTCTCAGTTGAGCCTTCCGTTTGAAGCGCTTTTCAACTGGGTGTCACACACCATGTTATATCCGGAACACTTAAAAAGGTATCGAACGAATTTGCGTTGACATTGTGCCGGAAATCAAATCAGTCCGACCAAAGATTACTTCGCTTTAATTCACTGAGATTTATTGATCTGATCACGGTATATTCATCCGTCCGTGCGTGAACCCACCTTAAGTCTGTGCATTCTCAGTAATCGAACAACATAACGCAAGCTGCGCCAAGGTTGTGAGAAAATTTAACAGTTTAAAGTGTTTGGACCTCAGTTTCAGTCATGCTTGAGAACAGAGTTTTAGCTTTGCTAGTAGACGGCATCTCGGAAAGTAAGTACTGGTCGTACCAGCCAGAGTTGTTTGATAGAGAATTAGATGGCGAAATGGCCCAAGTGATTAGAGCGCGAATTTACTGACCGAAAGGTCCGTTGTTCGAACCCGACCTCTGCCTCTCAACTCTCCCTGCCTAGGCTTGGGCAACTTGGCAGTATCCCAGCCCTCGTGCAGCCTTTGGGTGGCATGGCAGTTAGGCACCGAAAGGGTGCTACAGCTGGGCGTTTTTTTAGAATAGTGTTAAGTGTCAATACTCTCCGAAAAGGTTAATATGGCATTCTTTTGCAGAGAATTAAATAACACCCACCCGCTCCCGAAGCAAAGCACATATCACGTTCGATACGAATAGTCCGGTGGAAATGGAATAGGCATATGGGGGCAGATAGGTTAGTTTCACGTCACTCTAGTTGTTTACATAACTCAGTAACCACCGACTAAGAGTAGTTCACAGCGAACACCTTCTGTACCAACGTTTTGAATCTCACCTGCCAAAGTTGCACAACCGATTTCTTGCAAGTTCAACTGTCGATTCAACACCCACAGATAGAAATCTCTTGGCAGATTTTGATGCTCTGGGCGAAGTTTTTCACGATCCACGGTAATCGCGAGTGTAAACACGCCTGTTTCCTCCTGTTCAAGAACTTCACAATTTGAGAATCGTCTCCTTCTCCAGTATTCTTCGTTCAGTTCGCTTAGCTAAAACACGAACAAGATGTACATATGAAAGGGTGACATTGCAAGGCCAAGATAGAGAATTAGAAGTCGACACATCAATCACATCGCTCAAGTGTGAACACGTTCGCCTGTTCAGACGCGTCCAACGCGTTCAGTTGCGTCCAACGTGCGTTGGTGGCGTAGTGGTCACACGCTCGCCTCGCATGTCACACGTATGGGGTTCAAATCACGGCACGGCCATTGGATTTGTACTGCTGATGAGCTCTAATAAGAGCGAAACTCGAGTCAAGTGCTTCCCTTTGGTGTGGACTCACCGAAATAACTACGCCAGAACAGGAGGACGATAGCTCAAACGAGAGTGGTGTGACTATGAACAAAATATCGTTGCCGCAAAATCCCAAAACTGAATCAGAATGGTTTCATGTTTCATTCTTACCGACTTGCACGGGTTCGAACGATCAACACTGAATCTTTCGGGATCCAACTGGACAGAGATAGCTGAAATGCGAAAAAAGTAAACTCCCAAGATGGGTTGATAACATCTGAATATTTATTCCAAATTTACTTGACATGATAGCATTGTGAAAGCGACAGGTTCAGCTTTTGTTGGATTATACGAGAGACACAATTATTTAATGGACAAAAACTGAGCGTAGACACAAGACTTACTGTGCAGAGCTCCCGAACTTTGAGCTGTTCTAAATATGTTTAGGAGCAACAGTGGCAAAAGGTTGTTCATATTGGTGAAGGGCAATTTTTTGTGGATTGAGGTCACTCTACATTTATATGAATGACCGCAGACTGCGTGCACCTCGCTCATTGGTCCGTCAGACTGGTATCACCAACATCAAGTACCGTTTGATTGGTAGAATCTGAAGTAACGCGGAAACCATCAGTAGCTGACCCGGATATCTACACAATGTTTTCGATACGCTATAGAAGGGTTTTCTAACTGGTCTTGAAAAGCAGCAAAGCACTATTCAGGTGTCCTTGAGAAAACACTGCCATCCTGCACTTTATTAGCCCGCTGGTGGTTTGAACGCGTAACATTCGACTGCGATTGACTGACCGCCAGTGTGAGTAAATTGTGCTTTCACACGTATTCATTCACGTCACGTGATGTGCTTCTGACTATCATTAAGAGTAACGAATCAGAGAAGGAACGATTTGGAATACGTACTACTCTTCGTCCAAGGCAGACTATTTTTTATTTCCTGAGAAATTAGCTTTGCAATTTAAATGTTAGTGACTATCCATCCAAAGGGTTGACGCAGAATTTATAAATTCACATCAAATAATGCAAGGCTGTCTCATATACTAAACCCCATGCTCAGGTGCCGACCTGGCGTTTCAACTTAGATTTAAGACTAAAGCAAAAATCCGACGACTGTTTTTATCATTTTTCACCAAATTTTATGAAAAGATCATTTCCGGTTTTGGTTCAATTTTCAATCGTGTATTTTTGGCTTCGTCGATGCCGCTGGAGACTTCTTTGAGGATCTAACCGAAAACGCTTGGCCAACATCCAGCCATGTTCTTTAGTTCCGACTAGTGTGACCAAGTCGTTTACGGAAGATTTGTTTTGAAAAAACAGAATCAATTTTATACCAGTTGCTCTTCGCATGTAACAGCCAAACGGTATCTTTGAGTGACGCGTAATTCCAGAACCTCCGGGAAGGCGAAATAAAGTCGGAGCTGAGATTCAGTACGGTACTATTAACGTAAGATATAAATTCACAAACTTCGGACAGTAGGTACTCGTCCACAGCGAAGTGTCCACTACAAAAGTACCAACCAAATGAGCAAACAGGCACCCACGTGAGTCACTCACACGTGCATAAGGTCGGTCACAGATGACAGGATGACCTTGGAGTGGTCTGGCTACCCAATGAGCTATTTTAACAAAAAACGCTTATGCAGTTGACAAAGTAAGTACGTAATGTTATAATGGAAGCAAAATAAGGGTGAAAACACCACAAAATCAAAGACAAGTAAGTGAAGTGGTCGGGACAAACAAGCACAATTTCATACGTACGCATTAAACACCAAAAGTGTAGCGAGGGTTACAAATAGGAGCAGAAGAAACGTGGGAAATTTCAAGTGTCAAAGTAATGGAAGATACACCGCATTAGGAAGTTTATAGATATTCATCGTTCAGCCGATCTACAAATAGGACAGAAGAAACGTGGGAAATTTCAAGTGTCAAAGTAATGGAAGATACACCGCATTAGGAAGTTTATAGATCTTCATCGTTCAGCCGATCTACCTGAGAAACAAACATGGATTTTTTGTTGCAGGCTTGGATTACGGTTCTATTGCAACACCAGCATCGATCGATACACTCGAATTTAAAAAACATGCTTACACAAAATATGGTGATGGCACTTATGCCGATGGTATTGCTGTTGTCATCTAAACGAAGACTTCTGAGTTGGAACTACACGCATTATTCGTAATTCACTACGTTTAAGTTGCTGAAAACTCCTGGACTGCCCACGACCGGTTTTACCCCTCTTGAGGCTCATCAGGTAGGCGCAGTCTCCTAGTTTCCATCAACCTTATTTTCTACTTGAAACCAACTTGCACGAAATTAGCGAATATACACTCATCTGCAAACTAATTTGGTTCTTTCGAGAGACTCACCTGGAACCCAGCTGAATCTCTCGTTTATGATGTTCTCAGGCTTCACCAGGCCGACTCGTGTTTCAGTCGCTACGATATTCGAGATATCTCGATACATATATGTCCGCAATGCACTACGCATAAGGTTACTGAAAACTCATCGACAACCCACGACCGGTCTCGGCCTTCTTGGGGCTCATCAGGTAGGTGCAGTCTCCGTCACCCTCATGTTCTACTTAAAAAAAACTATTATTTTGATGTTTTTTTTTCGAAAAAAGAGAGTATATTTATACAAATCTGTTGCTTCAGATTGTTGTTTCTTGTGCGGTGGCCGAGCTATTGGTTACGCCTGCACTGAGCCTGCCAGACTACGCGATAGGGAGAAGACAGAGAACTGGATACACGGCTGTATTGTCAGGACAAAACGTACAGAGCGTCTGCGTAATATATAGGATGACTAAATGGCGAAATATGCTCGTTCACTTGTTCGCTCCGTACAGCCAGTGATGGTGTTCCGGTCGTGAACACTCTCAGGCCCACTCCGCTGGGCGTGTGTTGCTAGGCCGGGTTTCGTGGGAGCCGTCAACTCACCTGCTTTCCGGACGCGTCGTATCGATGGTGACCTTGGGGATGCGTCACTCTCTGCACATGTACTTTTTCTTCTGTCTGGGCGCGCCCTGACACAGATCATCTGCTCTTCACATCCTTGGCCATGCCTGGGTTCGATCCTCGGGCCTCTGTCCGTGATAGTGACCATAAATTTTGCAACAACACGAGTAATCAAATAAAGTCTTTCAACTGCTTTTTTGTTCGTTTGTGGCGCCACTCTGCTGACAGGCAGATGAGTCTGTCAAGAGAAACATGACAGTTTCGGTCTTGTCGTTTTTATATGTTAGTCGTCCACCGACCATCTGGACGCAGTTTTTACCAACATGTGGTCGGATGATCGATTCCGACAAAAACACGACAACCCATGCTGCTTGGTCACACGACCGTTCAAAGTCATTTTGTCTGGCACAGCTCAGAGAATTGCAGAGCCGTTGTCGATCTGTGCAGCCGTACACATACAGCTCAAGATTTTGGAGGCACCGCATCGAGCATTTGTGCGTACATTTAAAGCCGGTGGTTCAAGTGTGCAGTTAAGAGGTTAGAACACCAAAATCAAATACCCAATTTCGAAACTCTACAAACTGTCTTTAAGGCTATAGCAGGATATGGCGGATTTTTCCACTCCTGTTCAAATTTCAAACTGTCAATAAAAAATAGTCCGTCACAGAATTAGTAACAGGCTGCGAATCAGTAGACGGAGTGGTGTCTTAATACACGCGAAAACCCATTACACGACCTCTTTGACCAGACCGAGAGTCCCCCGAAGATTCGCCGAGATCACTATGGAATTACTCTCAAACTTGGTCTGCCATTCTCTCTCAAAATGAGCAACCCATCGGGTCAGAAGACCCGGTTTACTCAGTTCACAGCTTGCTTACGTTTCGTTTATTTTGGAATTCATGCACTAGCTTGCTTTTGTAATGAGAATGGCGGCCAATTCTGATGACCTCCAGAGGAAATTTGAATACTTAGACGAAACTCAACAAATCTGGGTTGCCTGAATCGATCGGGAACGACGAAGTAACTAAACGACGACCCACAGTTCACATTCGCTAACTAGATAGAGAAAATTCGTCGCGCTGTCGGAAGGCTGGACAGTTATGTTCATAGGAAACGCATGCTTTCTGAGAGTCTACTTACCCTTACACTGCTCAACCTGTCTAACATGTCTTTACTGGCAGTTTCTGGATGCCAATTAACGGATTACAAAATGGAGGGTTTTGGGAAGACTTTCACTTTAGATTTATAAATTATATTTATGCAACACGAAACGAGAATGTAGTGCCTTGATAATTTGAAAAATCTGGAAGGAAGAAATGAAAACAAAGGAACGGGTGAATTCAAGGATACGTTTGGACCATCCGTCAACGGAAGAAAGATGGTGAACACGGCAAAAAAACTCATCGCCTTCTCAGAAATGCACTCACCAGACTGGCAGAATTATAGAGACGATCACTCCTTGTAGCAAGGCACCATATTGAAACGACAACGCTTGCGACCTCCGTTGAGTTCTCCCAAAAGCCGAACTGCATCTCCTCGAGGAACAGGCCTGTTGAACTGCACTCCGTATGTAGCAATATACTCGGTGTGTATTGCTTCGCTGGCTCTATCCAGTAGAGCGCATTTTTCAATCCTGAGGCCATTTTCAAAATCCCGCGATTTCAGCTAGCATGAATATAAGACCCGTTGCGGGGAAATTAAAAACTGATGAGCATTTTTATGCCTGAACACTGTACCGAGCAAAAGGAATTGGATCAGTTTAAAGGGATTATCGATCAACAGTCTGTTCGGTTTTGAAATTCAGTAGGCTTGAGAAAGAGAAATCTGGCGTTATCTTATCAGAGCTTTGTTTCATATCGGTCCTTTAAGGACTGTATCTTCTTGCTTCCTCTTTGCGTGTCGTAATTTTCATCCATCTAAGGTATTTGGTAAAATCTAAGATCTAACACCGAATTGGACCTTCTCAATTCACAAAACTAAAGAAATAATGAATATTGTTCGCATCCAATCCGATGGAAAATAAGTTCGCTCTTTGACCACTGCTGGTTTAAAGTATCGATCCGTCGTTTTATTGATCAATAATTCAAAAGGTATCGATTAATCGCTTGCAATTCACTTGATTTCGAAATCCATGCGATTCTGGAGAACGCGCTTTATTTCGTGATGGACACTTTGGGAAGGAGAGATAGAGTTGGTTGTATCGCACTGTGTGTTGTTTCATACAGTTCGATTGAATATTGTCCGCACAGCATAATCGGTCTCAGACACAACTGACATGAAATAGTTTGGTTTGGAAGAACCACATTCTGGCCCATAGCGCTGAGAAGAGTTTTGGCTACTAAACTACTCAGAAAATAGGTACCCTAGGCAAGTGTCGAACAAAACAGAACGGAGGCATCTGACTTGTTGCTAACGTACCTTATCACAAACACAGCCTTTCGCTGGGAACGTCAGTTTCACTCCTGAAAGGGGAAAATCCGTACTTGTGATATTCATGCGCTAGCCTTCAAAAGTTCATCCACCACAATTCCCTTGAAATACACTTCACTCAGCAGTCATCCATTCCATATAAAACAATCAAAGTTAGCATCTACTGACTGGCAGTTGAAAAGCACGCAACCGTCCGTGATTCATGTAACTTACGTTCGAAATCCTTATCACAGCCAGTTTCAGGGTAACCTGTTGGTAGAAGCGTTTAGAGAACAAAGTTGAATACAACTCAGCCTTGTAAAATAAATTTGTGTACCTGATTGCCGCTTGTAAGAAATGTATCATACATCTTGAGTTCCAGTAATGATGAGCACAGAGAACAAGTAAACTCAATTTTGTTGGACCACAAACTGTAGTTGTTCTTGATGGAACTGTGTGTGATAGGGGGCCGACAGATAATCCGTGAGAAATGCCGTGACCAGTAATGTTACGACACACGATATTTTTACAGCACACAAGGGAGTACGCTAAGTAACGTTCTACTTCGAACGGTCTTGTCACTACTCGGTATTCATTTCTGTATGGACCAAGTTTGCAGAAAATTTATGATGAATGTAAAACGATCGTTTGTTTTGAACTTAGTTCAAACTGTTACACATGATTGTTGAATCTGCCGAATTTCGGATTGAATACCCATTTTCGGGACAGAAAATAAACAGAAAACGGAAGGGCTAAAACACCTTGCATGCTGAAAGGAAGTCGTTAAAAAAGTCCACGTTAGACCAAGCAAAACCATTGTCCATGGTTTCAAAAAACCTGTTTTCTCGTTGAACACATGCCACTGTAGGCGCAAGTGGGTTTTTGATATGATGCGCGTATGCAGAACAAATCTATAAGACGTCCGATCCTCAAAATTGCATCCTAGAGGTCTAATTATTCTAGAAACATTCTGAATGATATTTGGAGTAAAACCAACACGAATTCTGAGGACATCACACCTATCTGTTTTTGGACAATAGCATAGTTTTTACTGGTCTCTCGAACATTGCTGAACCATGAAAAAAAGCGAGTGTTTGTGGCATTTTTTCAGAGTGGAGAATATTCCTTGACTGGTACCTGCTAAGGTCGCGCAACCAATTTCTTGCAGGTTTAGCTGTCGATTCAACACCCACAGATAGAAATCTCTTGGCAGGTTTTGATGCTCTGGAAGGAGTTTATCATGATCCACGGTAATCGCGAGTGTAAACACGCCTGTTTCCTCCTGTTCAAGAACTTCGAACACTCCTGTTTCTTCCTCCTGTCCAAGAACCTCACAATTTGAGAAACGTCCCCTTCGCCAGTATTCTTCGTTCAATTCGCTCAGCTGAAACCAGAACGGATTGCGCATTTATCAGGATGACATTGCGTGAAAAGGCTGGTGAATCAGACTACTTTTAGGTTCCGCTTACCGACTTGCACGGGTTCGAGTGATCAACATCGAATCTTTCAGGATCCAGCTGAACGTAAACCGCTGAAACAAGCAGAGATGTAAACCGCTATGGACAGGTCAATAATGGCCTATCGTAGGTAGCCTTGAAGCTAATTTTTGAATAAACAAAACCACAAAACAGAGGGCTATTTGTCTTTTGTTAGCCGGAACTCACTGTGGTAATCTCCTAAACTCTGAGCTGTATGAATGACGTTCACGAGTAACAAAAGCCACATTTTGGTGAAAGATGAATCTTTGCGAAGCAGCCTCTATTTATTTGTCCAGGCACACACCGGGTGTTCCACACTGGTCGACCTAGTTTAGCGATAAGTACTTTTTGGATGACACGACGAAATAATGTGTATGGATTTACCATAGATGTCTAGTGTTGATCGAAGCTACACTTTATACCTGGAGTTTCGTTTCTGGATAGCTACTCACAGTTTGAAGTGAGCTTGTGACGAACGGTGGAGACTCATCGTTGAACTGTTAGACAGAGTGCTTCTCATGAATCCGGAAGGGGGTCTGGTCTCACCAGATTCCAGTGAGTAGTATGACTGATTACTACTCAGCTGCAATTGAGTGGTCTTCGTTTTGGCTTCATTAGACACTGCCTCGCATTAATTACTGCTGACTAGCTTTGAGTAGATAGCACACAAAATGCTCGCTAGAAACAGGGTAACAGTAAACCGTATTGCGGGGTAGTGATTTCTGGCTAAATATTGGCATCCAATCCAGAATGAACGGGTTTCAATTCTCCGCAGTACTCATACGTTTTGCCCCGACGTTATTTTCTACCAAGGACATTTTTCAATCAATTGGAAAATGTTTGGGTCCGACTGGGTAGTCATCGTTTCAGAGAGGTGTGGTAAACATTAATGCACAACTCACAAGGATGCTGAAAATCCGTCGACAGCCCACGACCGGTTTCGCTCTTTTTGGGGCTCGTCAAGTAGGCGCAGTCCCCGAGTTTACGTCAGCCTTATGTTCTACTTGAAACCACGAAATTAGTGAATATACACGCATTTGTAAACACATTTGGTTTTGCGATAGACTCACCCGGAACCCAACTGAATCTCTCGGTTTTGATGTTTCTAGGCAACTGAATGTGCTGCAATTTGTTTCAAGTAGAACATAAGGTTGACGGAAGCCTCGGGACCGTGCCTTTCTGATGAGCCCCAAGAAGGGCGAAAACGGTCGTGGACTTCGAGGAGTTTTCAGCAACCCTATGAGTAATGCATTACATACATATTATGTATCGCGATATCTCGAATATTGTAGCGACTGAAACGTGAGGTGGCCTGGTGCAGCACATTCAGTTGCTGGGACAGATCAAAACCGAGAGATTCAACTGTGTTCCAGGTGTGTCTCTCGCAAAACCAAATTTGTTTGCAAACGAGTGTATTTCCCTAAAGTTGATGGATTTATATTGCTGGGCTGCGTTCCGTTTTACGTAAGTCGAGAAGCAACCCGTGAGATTTCTTATGCTTAGCCGACTTGATCAGTGCTTGGCTTCGGTCTGAAGTTCCTGTTTTTTGGTCAGTAGGGACTGTTGGTTAGCTGGGGACTGTTTTCAATTTGAAAACCGGATTTTGCGGCCTTGCTTTTCTGTCTAGGACAGAATCGAATATTTCTCTTGGAGTCGCTCACAGATTTTGTACGCCTGTTTTCCTTCGGGAGGTACCGGGACAATCTTTTTCGGGTTTGGGGGTGGGGTGGGAGCTTACTCTGCCTGAATTTTGTACTTTTAGACCTAGACCATTTCGCTGATAACCGCACACTGCCCCGCGTCGTCTCAGTCAATCCAAAACTGCTCCCCACACGCTTGCCAGTTCTGCACATCACTGACCACTGATTATTGGCAGTGCCGGGTGTCAGTAGCAGATCACTGTTTCCTTTTATCTACTTGCCCTGGCAGGAAAATGACTTCAGTGGCCTTGACGAGCACGAAGAAGTGAGAATGATTGGTTCCATGAAGGTAAAGTCAAAATGAACGCCTCATTCGGGTTCAGGTTCCGTTTATGACATAATTCTTTCTTGACTAGGCTGGATAGTATAACAGCGAACAGGTGTTGCATTGCTAGAAGGCCAGAATGCAGGAGCTCGTATGGGAGACCGTAGGTACCAGGAGAGGATCTTTTCCAGATAAGCACCACCAAAAAAGGCTGGATAAACAGCGAACAGGTGTTGCATTGCTAGAAGGCCAGAATGCAGGAGCTCGTATGGGAGACCGTAGGTACCAGGAGAGGATCGATCTCAGATAAGC